GTATGAATCCTCGTCGTTCCTCTTGGGGGGGGGGGGGGAGCCATGGGAAGATCAAGCGTTACACAAAAGAAAATTATACTAAGCTGTTCATATGATACATAAAAGCCAGAGGGTTTCAGTAGTAGTAGTGCAATAATCTAAACACAAGGTATGTGAGTGAGGTGGGTTATTCATAATCTTCGGTTTGAGCCCATGGATACTTGAGGAATCCACCTCTAACTTGGGAAGGATCTTCTGGTGTGGACCATGGATATTTCATCGATGGATCTCTTGGGAATTTTCTGAAGTTAAGAAATGGTGCCCAAAGCAACACACTGCATAAGAGAGAGAGAGTATTGCGTTAGTCATAATGCATAATCAATGTCATAGCTGAATTTCACAATCCTAGAGCCAACTGATCCAACCCATAAAGAATAAAAAAGAAAGAAAATAGGGTGTTGCTGTTTTTTATATTTTGGGTTGAGATTTTTTGTTTTGGTTGTTGTTGGGGGTAGGGATGCAACTTGGGTTGGGCAACCCAATTTCAACCCGAGTCCAACTCGAAAAAATTAGGATTTGGACAAGAATTTTTAACACTTGAGTTGGACTTTTTCAAAAAATCTCAACCCGAATTCAATTTGGACTGGCCTCGGGTTGACCCCTCAGATTCACAGGTTAAACCCATATATTAAAATCGGTCTCAACCCAAATTAATAATCAAGTTCAACCCGAATTACTATTATATAAATATAATTTTTGAATGTTATGTAATATATTTGAATGTTATGTTTGTGTTCCATTAAACTGGTTATTGGTTGTTAAATTATGTAATATATTTGTGTTATATTTGAAGTTGTTGGTTGTTAAATTATTTGAATATTATGTAATATATGTATCAGGTTTTGAACATTAACCTGAAATCAGCCCGTAAAGTAAGTTAAAATCAGTCCAAAATCATTAACCCGAATTTAACCCGAGCCCCCGCCCGAATTAAACTTGGGCAGTGTTTTGGTTGAATTTATTAACCCGAGGTAAGACTAGGGTTAGGATTAGAGTTGAAGATTATATATCTAGGGTTGACTGTCCAATCCACCCAATCCGCCTGAATTGCACCCCTAGTTGGGGGTGGGGGCTAAAAAGATCATTTTTCAGTTTTTTTTTTTGATGGGGTGAATGAAACGTTGCACCCTTAGAAATTTTCAAAATCTCAATTTACCCCTTTAAAAGATAATTTTTTTGCATTTAACTTTCAATTAGATAAAAGGTTGCAATGCAATCAAAAACTAAATATTCATTGCTTTTTCTGACAAATTTTTGGTTATATTTATCATATTTTTCTATTTCTATACATAATTGTTTGCATAATACTCAATTTTTAAAGGGTTTTTAATGAATATTTTGTAGTCAATTTTCTTAAAATGGAGCACATTTATAAATCCTTCTATTTTATTAAGGGTGCAATGTGAGAATCTTAATCTTGTAAGATATAAATTGAGAGTGCAAAGATCTTTTGGGAAGCAAAGTGGCATTTGCCCTTTCTTATATAATCTTAGCCTACTTGTAAGGGAAAAGAGAATGAGAGGAGAGCCAATCAACGGTATATATATAGGAATGTAATTGGTATGAAATATGTGTTGTTTACACTATAGAGTTGGTTCAGTTTCGAATAAGATCCGAAACACAAATCCATGTCGCTAGAGTTCGAGTCCCATTGACACCACAAAAATTCGGTTGTAAGTGATACACGTAGTTGTGGATAACTAAGAGCATGTGAGATTTGTGTAGTAATTACCAATTAAAAAGGGGGTGATTAAGATAATTGTCTATTATCCAAATAAAAAAACCAAAGGACAATCCTAGGAGTGCATGAGAACACAGCAAAAAAAAGAGAGCTTACCCTGGAAAGAAAATAAAGACACACATGAACTGCAAATACATCTCCAGTAGATTCCTCTTGTACCATCTGATCCTGAGCCAGTTCATGATGAAGGGCTGCCATCCAACACAAAGATTAATTTCCACACAACCTTTTCACATTCAAAAACAGAGCAAATTCATAAGAAACAAATCTCACCCACCGGCACGACGAGAAAGTAAAAGAAGGCTGAAATGGCTAGTTGAATCAAAACCCATGTGAAATCTTCTTCATTATTCACACCAGTAACAGAAATAGCTGGCTCTACAACCTGTTACAGCATTGCTAATGGAATTTAACCTCAAAATGAATAATTAAAATCACTTATTAAAGTTCAGGGTCCTCACAGTGCCCAAAAGTGCTCCAGCTTGAATTGCTAAAATGGATTGTTTAGAAATGAAGTTGTCAATCGGATTCAAGCTGATGGTTATTTCTGTCTGTGATGTAATACAAAAGCATGAAAAATTGATGGTAAGGTGGAGATTTTAGAAGACAAAATGCAGAAGTATAGATGAAAGTAGGAGGGTAAAGATAGTTATAGATACCTTCTTTGGGTTGGAATTGTGGGGCTGTTTTAGTTTAGAGGAAATGTGCAGAGAAGCAATTCTGGATTGGGAAGGGGAGAGAGAAGGTAAAGCCTTGGGGATGTGGAAGCTCAATGAGTAGCTCATTTCAGAGCTCTCTGGTTCTTCCTATCAGTTTTTTGATTTTCGATGTCATTTGCCTGAATTGCCTGAAAGGCTGAAAGTGCTCTATGAAGAAGATAATTGCACTATATCTAAAAGGCTTTCATTTAGGAGTTGCCATTTGGCAAGCATGGCTCCACCAAATGCTACTAGACTTTTCGCATATGCTGCTGAAACTTAGAAAAAACATTTATATCACTCTCTATTTAGGATTGTTCATGGGCTGGGCCGAATTAGGCCTGTGAAATAGTTTTTGGGCTGGGTCTGGGTATGATAGACCCAAATTTTTACCACGTGAATTATCGTGCAGGTTAGATTGGACTTTGAATAGGAATAGATTACCTGCAATGCAACCTATCACTCATGGGCGGGCTTACGGGTGAGCATGTTGAGCGGGTCTTTTATTATAGGGTAAATTATAAGGGTACACTAAATTATACTTATTTGGTAAAAAATACACACTAAAAAATGTAGGGTTATTAAGTACTTAATTTTGATACTTATTTGTATCCAAGTATATAATTTGAATTTATCTATTTTTATTGTGATATTTTTGCCCTCCATTAATCCATGTGTATTTAATACAACATTTTTCTTTGGAAAGTGGTGAATTAAACATCTTCTACTTTGATGGGAGGACTTTAATATATATATATATATATATATATATATATATATATATTAACAAATACACATGAATTAAAGGTGCATTAAATACGTATTTATATGTATTAATAAATACACGTGAATCAAGGTGCATTAAAGATAAGAAATTTTGAATTAAATGACCCTAAAATGAGTATTTTTGTCTCTTTAACTCACATTTTGTTTTATGTACTTTTTTGTCAATTAAGTCTAATTAGGTGTACCAGTTTTAAAGAACTTTTTATTATATATATACATTTTCATTTTAAAATATAGCCATTTTTTTTCTTGTTCCCGAAGCATGTGCTGTGTTTATTCAAAAAATAAAAATTAAAAGCATGTGCATATGCGCAGAGTGCATGTGCTTCTTTTGTGAACTCAAAAGATTGCCCCATCTTGTAATAAATTATAAATATACCATCAAACTTACCTAACGGGGACAATTTTTCTTTTTTAAACAAAGTGGTTGGACAAGCTGGTTGGGCTGGGATTGGTGGGGGGGGGGGGGGGGGGGGGGGGGGTTATTGGCCAGGTTTTTGTAGGTGGGTAAATAGGCCAAAATTTGGCCTTGGTATTATGCTAGGGGCAGTCCAAGGACTCTTGAAGGATATTGGGCTTGAGTTTAGACTGGCCAAGCCCAATTTTTCACCCCTCGTCATCAACAATTTCATTAATTGTGGTCACATGAGACATAGATGTAGTTATTATTGATGGGTCAAGTCTAAAGGCTCAATTCATGTTATAAGCCCAGTTCAAGTTTATAGTTCGATTCCAAGAGATTCAGCGAATCCAGCCTAGTGTGGCCAACCTAGTCAAGCTCATTAGTGTGGTCACCCCGGTCAAACTCAGCAGCTGAAGGAGCTAAGAGAGCAAGTAAGGTCATCCAAAGGCTTATTCTCGCTGCCCTGGAGATGGTCAACACCCCACCTCATCCGTTGATCGAATCTTATGGAGAGCACCGCAACTGTCTAGCACGTTGAGAAGAGCTTGCCAGATCCAACAAACTAGCCAACTACTTACTAATATCTTGCCCAAATCTGTTAGGAGGGCGACTATAAATTGTAAGTCCCACTAACACTTGGGGGACAAATTATATTTTACCTGAGCACGACTCTCTCCTCCTCCCTCAAAGCTTGTATTTTCTGCTTCCCACACCCTTGAGTTAATAAAATACCTGGCAACTAAAGCCATTGAAGAGTGGATGTAGATCGAGCTTACCAGACCACTATAAATTGCCTGTCTCTCAATCTCCTGATATTATTTTCTTGCATTTATTACTCATACTTGACAAATGATGTGCAAAATCATTTTGTGTATCATTAGCTATCATTTCCATTAGTTAATTTAAACCAATTCTTGTGATTAACTAAAATGACACATATTAAATAGTTGATCAATGCTATTAAGACCTAATTTATTGATATAATTTGTTGATTTAATTTACTATGACATTTAGATTTACTGTAAATCTCATCAAACATTAAAATTTAATATTGTTCAAATAACTATTATGAAATCACATTATTATGTTAACAAATTAAGTTAAATTTTTAAATTAACATAAATTTTTAAGTTTTTAAATAATTATATGACTATAATTGACAAAATTTGAAATGGGTAGGGTCCGGATCCCAATGGAGATTGGACCCACTCAGGTGGACTTGTATAAAAAAGCCTGTTAGGTCGATTCCAAGAAGCCCAAGATGAAGATATTTTCCAGTTCCTTTCCTTCCATTTACATTCTTTCTTTTTTTTTTTTTTTTAATTTACATTCTTTCTTGGTGATTATCTGCGGAGGGAATGTGCAGAAACTAAAGACCCAGTAGCAGAGCACAATGGCTAGCATAAACTTCATTTCCATGCCCAAAACTAGCATTCTTGCTTCTTCTCTACCCAACAACACTTCACCATCACTTCCTCCTCACACTAAACCCAATTCCCGGCGACAAACCACCTCCCCACCACCACCACTAACGGTTGAACCAAAACAACGGCAGAAACAACAGCAAAATCAACCTTCAATTGCAGAAATTGAACGAGCCATTGGTGCCGGCACTTTCAGAGACAGAGACACAAGCGGGTAAGTCCCAGTTCTCTGATTTTAGTGGGTGTATTAGATATTCGGGGTAGTGTTGTTTGTAGTACTGAATTGGGTTTTAGTTTTGTATTGATTCAGAGGGGATTCAGAACAGAACCAGACTATGTTTGATGTCATTTTCTCGAATTCTATTGGGAAGACTGAAGGGTCAGTGGAGAAGAAGCTCCGGGAGACTGGGGAGTGGATCATTGATCGAACCGAGACCTCGTCTCGTTCTGATGGTATTCTACATCTTCTCTATTTGCTGTTTTCTGTTCAGTGTGAATTGCTTTTGGATGCTTACTGCCTTAGTCTCTCCTTAGCTTCACTGCTCTGCGCATGTAAGACATAATATCATGGCTTCCACCTTTTTAAAGCAGAATTCTGGTCTTCTTGTCTATGTACCTGGGGTTTGGAACAATGAATTTGAGGATAGTTGGATAGATGATAAGTTTTGCAAAAATGAGAAGTCTATGCACCTTTGTGTAGGACATTTGGAAAAGTCTATTCCATAGCTCTAGCAATATTTTAGCTTTGTTTTAATTTGAAGATTAAACAGAATATTGGGTAAATTGGCGGATACATGAGAACACGCTTGAGGATCTCAAACTCAGTAAAGCTTAATCCAAACTGTTTGGAGTAGACTACATGAGTGCTGTTTTTCTATTGTGCTATATCAAGATCCAAATTACAATACGCTAAACTCGCCTATTGAAGGTCTCTAAAACAATTTATCCTTCGGGTGGGACTGTGCAGGGGTCTTGTTAGGGGCCGCATCTGATGTAGCCTACTAAAACTACAGCATATAGTTAGGCTGTTGTATCTGTGGATTGTTTGTTCTTGCTAAACAGTTGAAGGCATTTTCATTCTAGAGTGCAGATCTTGTGCTTTTATGATTTACCAGAGCTGGCAAAATTGCAAGTCCTGTCATTTAGAGCGGCTTGAGTTTTTATCCTTGCTTACTGAAAGAGTTATTGTGTAATACATCCAAAAATATTCAGCCAAGTTAAATAGAAAAAATGATTGCTCATCCGTACAGGATTAGAATCTTGAGGCCTATATGAGTGCTGTGATACCTGTTGGAAAATATACTTCTTTTTTGTTAAATCACACAAAGACATTATTCCAATATTGTGACATTTTAATCCTTGTTAAGCTTCAGATTATGTAATCATGATGTTCTCTCCATAATTTTAATCCCTGTTTTAAGTTCTAGCTAAAATTCCTTCTGTTGGCAAAGAAACCAAAGTTATGCTCTGTTTGGTACGATAGAAAATTGGAAGGATGAAAAGTTAGAGAAATAATAAATCATCATGTTTCGTAAAAAAAAAAGAAAATAGGAAGGATGGAAAAGTGAATGGATTCATTTTCCTTTCAACTCATCTAAATCAATCTCTCCAAAATGGGAAGAAAAATAGATGGAAAGTTAATTATTTGTGTTGAGATGTATCTTATTTGTTTATATATTATGTATACATTAATTTCATATAAAATAACAATGATAAAATATGTATTTATTTATTTATATATATATATATATATATATATATTAAATAAATTCAAAAATTAAAATTAAAAAATAACAAATAACAAATAAATTTTAAATTTTAAATTAAAAAAATATTTTTTTCATCTTAATTAGAAGTGAAAATTTTCGACTCAACACGATGGTGCGACTCGAACTCGACACCAATTTTATGACACGAACTTAATAATGATTTCACACGCAAACAAGAAATATAAAAGACTAATAATTTTATGACTCAACACAAATCTGACACGACACGACTCGATTGTCACCCCTAATCTTAGCCGGCACAAAAAAAAAATAGTCATTTTTATTTTTTATTCATCTAACTAAACACAAAGGAAGAAAAGTGTATCATTTCTACTTTCTATTCTTGAAGAATAGAAAGTGTATCTCTCCTACTTTTCATCCTTCCCTTTTTCCATCTTTCCTATCAAACGGAGCATTAGTGTCCCATCCACACATATCAGTTGGTAAATGAACAACTCGGGCAAAGGAAATTTCTGAAGTAGTAAACACGAAGATGATCTCTGTGTTTCACTTGCATTTTGGTTTCTATATCCAACAGTGTATATAATTTGCAGTAGCTGAGTTGTTCTTGGATGAGGTTTGATCTCCACCAGGGGAGCAGCGCCTATGTTTGATGACAGCCCCACACAGAAGCACATGCACAATTCACACTATGAAGTGATTAATGTGTACAGTCTGTTCCTTGGTATAGAGAAATAGTTACACAGCTTTTGCTTGTAAAATCTCGAACCAATGACAGTTTGCCAAGGAAGACATATAAGCGTACTTCTCCCCAGACTATATCCATTGCCTTAATGCCCATCACATTTCATTTATGGACAAAAAGGCTTATCTTCACCGCCAATTGTTTGGGTTCAATAATGTTAACTTGTTGAAGTGGTGAATATTAATACTATTCCCGAGCCTTTGATAAGCTGAATATACATCTAATTTTCAATTCATGATGCATTTATCAACATTTGATATGGGTTTAAACTCTTTAAGTTCTTGTGATATGCCTCCTCTGATTTCTGGGATTACTTGGCAGGGAAGAGAATCTTGCTGATCGTGTTCTTAGGAGTCTTACCAATGTGGATTTTATCATTTCTAGTAGCTTCCGGGATCATAAAGCTACCATTCAGCAGCCCTTTTCTTGATGATCTGATTATGTGAGTAAAGAACTGTATCCCAGTTTAAGCCAAGGCTCAAATTTTCTGTATGTTCATGGCATGCAATTATTGACATGCCTCCAGCTTCCTGCAAACTATCAAGTTAAAATTCCATAGCCACCTCCACCGCGTTGTGTTTAAAGCAGATCTAATGTACGAAGGAGCATATATAGAAGGACATACGTGAACATGTTGCACAACCAATCCATGTTGTAGCCCATTTCACCTTTTTATACATATTCTCATTGTATATGTACATTTTGACAAGTTTATTGTGTCATTACCATGATATAGAATATAGTAGGAGGTTCAAACATTCTTTGTTTTGGTGCTTCTCTTGTCCTTAAGTAAGAGAAAGGTCTCAGTTGCAGACCTGCAGCCTGTCAAATAAATGTTCAACCATTAGATTTTCATGTCCCTTTTTTTGTTTGTGGGAGATAACATTACCTGATTCGACATATAAGATCTTTGGCATCGAAGGTCTGAAACAAACTACTAGAATATCGGAATGTTTAAATTTCAAATGTGTAGAAGTAGAACCAATTTCTCCATTATAATAATTTCACATCAGTTGGTTCTTTTTTTTTCCGATCAATTTAGCATTAGTCGTTACACAAAGAATGGATCTTCAATGCTATCACGAATCTTTTGACCATAAAAAAAAAAAAAATTGCTATTATAAATTTTCTGTTACCTTATAATTTAATTATTGATCATATGCCGTAACTCCTAAAGATTCCTACCGTCTGGTTCCTTGCTATTGTAGGCTTCAGTGATCCTTCCTCATGTGTTCCAACCTGTAAATATGCAGACATTAAATTGTACCCTTATTACCTTTTTTATGTCACTTTACATGGTCGGAATATTTTTTCTCATTTTTTCGTGGTTGCAACAGGCAGATATATGGGTAAATTTTGTAAATACCCTTAAACTACGACATTTATTTTAAACTTTTTTCTAAACTTCTATTTATCCTAATTTATCCCTCAAACTATATACTGTGTTTCAATTAACACTTTCTGTTAATTTTAAACATTAAATGTCTCAGTTTCATGAAATGCATATTTCGTTAATTATATCTGTGTCATTTAACGTTTAAAATTGAGAGAAAATGTTGAATGAAACCAATTCAAATGAAATTTCAGGGGACATTTTAAAATAAAAGTCATAGTTTAAGGTGCATTAATGAAATTTACTCTATATATATATAGTGAATGAATGTATTACATTACATGTTGGGGCTTTCATGAAAAAAGAATAAATTTTGGGGTCTACATTATGATGAAAAAAATATAATGATGACACGTACCAAATTGGAGGGGGCCGCCAAAAGGGAACAAGTATGGGAACAAAGTTGAGAGAGAACACAGGAAGACTAATAACAGTAACAACCACTCGATCCCTGGTTGTCTTCGAGAGCGCGGAGAGAGAGGGGGGGTCTGAAGAGCGAGTCTAGAGAGAGAAAGAGCGCGATCTCAACGGCAACGCCAACGGTGTAGAGAGAGGGAGAGACAAGAAATGGGTACGCTGCAGACTTGGCGGAAAGCCTATGGCGCTCTTAAAGATCAGACCAAAGTCGGCCTTGCCCACGTCAATAGCGATTTCAAGGTCCCCTATATCCTCTCTCTATCTCTCTTCATATTTACCTATGCTTTGTATATTAACACAAAATTCTTGGAGAACTCATTGATTTTTGGATGGGTTAAATATAATTAGGATGTGGATGTTGCGATCGTTAAAGCTACCAATCATGTTGAGTGCCCACCCAAAGAGAGACACCTCAGAAGTAAGATTTTGTGATTTTTATTTTGATTTTGATTTTCGATCCAAATCATATTCATATGTTCAATTGGGCTTTCTATTTTTAACGAAAACGTGTGAATCTTGACTGGGCATTTTATTTCTGGGGGAATATGTGTGGAAGTTTTTATTTGTTTTTTCTATTTTTGGGAACTAATGTGTCAAATCTTTGGTGGGTCTTCGTTTTATTTGTGTTTTTCGTAGAAATTTTTGCTGCCACGTCTGCAATTCGGCCTCGGGCAGATGTTGCATACTGCATACATGCGCTTGCAAGGAGATTGGCCAAGACCCATAATTGGACGGTATGGATTTTAGTGCCTTTGGGTTTTAATTGTGGTGCTGAGATTATATATTTGCTTCATATTGTTGAGAGTTGATTTGGATTTTCATTGAATTTGTTGGTGATGCTTTTGATGGATATGAATTGGGTTTTGCACAATATCGTTGCTGACATTACCATATGGTGGTTGTCCCTCAGTTAGTACTAAGTGTGATTTGGGTCATTTGGTGAAGTGTTTTATGGTCTCTCTGTCTTGAATATGCAACACTTGAGAGATAATTTTGCATCCTCAAATAATTTAAGTGTTTTAGACGAAATTAGCAATGAGTACAAGTGCATTTCTTTTGGTTTTATAAAAATCGATGATCACCTTATAACTTTTCGTATTATGAGAGTCGATGATCACCTTATAACTTTTCATATTATGAGAGTCAAACAACCCCCTTACCATGCCGACTAGTTAAACTTATTTCTATATTGTATAATTTTTCTGGTGGATGTAATGCTCACCCAACTGTGGTGCATTTATATAAACAGCCCAGTTTTGGTTATGAAGGTAGTCCCTTCTTTTTCTTCTCTGTCTTTAGATATTAATTTATTTGCAGGACTTATGGGTGATTTGAGATTTTTTACAAGAATCTTAGTTGTTGTTTGCTCCTGTATATGCCATGTGTACATTGGTTAGCTCCCCTTTGTGGATTTGGTGAATTCGCTTGTTAAAATGTTTTTGTATTAGTAAGGTTTAAGTGTATAAATTTTTTTCCTATTTAAAAAAAAATTGTTGTGAAGACAATCATGTTCTCATTTGCTTCTCTTGGATTAAATTGTACAAATGTAGTGATGAGTTTCATCAGTTGCTCCATTTGTTTACAGGGGGGATCAGCTTATTGGCATAAGCTGCTTCCACATTATGCACTGCTATTCCTTACAATTTTGTTAGGGTACACCTAAATATGCTGCTTTTTCTCTGATTATAGTCTGTAAAATTAGAAATTACTTGAAACATGACCAGAATCCTTCTTATCAGTATTACATTTGTACACATCAGGAGTACGTGCGCCATCTAACATTGGATGAGATCTTTTGGAAGTGATGATAATGTCATTGTAAGAAGTGTAGCTTGTCATTCCCCTGTGAATAATCTTAACTCTGTTTATAGGTATCTTTTTTGTTGTTCCACAGGTAGCATTGAAAACACTGATAGTTATGCATAGGACATTGAGAGAGGGAGATCCCACTTTTAGGGAAGAACTTCTGAATTTCCAACAGAGGGGACGTATTCTCCAATTATCAAATTTCAAGGATGATTCAAGCGCTATTGGTTTGTTCCTATAACCCCTAATTGGTCTTTTGTTTTGTTGTCAGTGGCATCTCTATCCTCGCCACAACTGGATCTGAGTAATTCTGAACTTACAATACAAAATTTTCAGGCTTTTCAATCTTATTTTTGTGTTGTGTTTGTATTTTTGTCCAGCTTGGGATTGCTCCGCCTGGGTACGTTCATATGGTTTGTTTGTGGAAGAACGTCTTGAATGCTTCAGGATTCTAAAGTATGACATTGAAGCTGAACGTCTTCCAAGACCCACCCAAGGGCAAGAGAAGGTGGGCCCCAATCAATGTTTATAATATTTATGGATGTTTTGTAGAATTTAAAGGAAGAAATGGATGATTAGAAAAATTTTCTCAACTTGAATATATAAGAGTAATGAAGCCATAACACATAATCATTTGGTAGTGATTCTTATTTAAGAAATAATTTCTCTCTCTCTCTCTCTCCAAACATAGCTAAGTATGATCAGTTGTTGATACTTTGGATTGTCATTAGTCAAGCGTAAGTGTATGTGCTCAAATTCCAACAAGGTCATAAGTCTAGAGAACATTCCATGGGCTTACTAAGAGGATGTAGAGGAAAAGATTTCCCTGTGAAATCCATTGTGTTGGATTCCATAGAATGAGCATGCTCTGTCCCCTTAAGTTCAAACATGTGGGCACAAAATGCTATCTTGCTCCACTGTTGCATTGCAATATTAGCCCGATTATGCTGCTTGGCTGCACTTTTTCACCTTCTTTTTGCTCTGGACAAGATTGATATTGGACACCGGGAGGGAGCAGGTAAAGCATGTCATCCGTTATGGAAAGAAAGAAATCTGTAGGATTGAAGTTCTTGGAGGATTATTGGTGTTGCTCCTTAATGTCCGGTACCATTGCCCTGTCACTCTGCCTGTCTTCTTGTGGCCGGGTCGAGTCATTCTTCATTCCTGTTACAAGGGAGACCTCTCTTCGCATACCGACCCTCCAATTAGTTGTTAAAACCATTAAGTGTACTTGCTCTCTTTAGCTGTCATTCTTATACAATTGTCTAAGATACAAGGATCTAAATCTCGTGTTGACACGTCCAAAATGTTTCGGAATTTCAACACTTCAACACGAAACAGTGGTTGAATCCCTAAATTCAAGTATTTTGGACCGTTTCAGTCAAAACAGTACAGTTTCGACGAAACAGTGGAAAGATTCGTTCACTTCAGGCTAAAAGAAAAAAGAGAAGGACTCAGAAAAGTAGATTCCAAAAGTCAGAATTCATAGCTCCAAGCTCCAAGCTAAAAAAAAAAGGGGGAAAAAACAAACATATCAGATCACAGGTCTTTCAAGCAAAAAAAAAAAAAAAAGAAAAGAGGGAGAGAAAGGCACCAGACAGAGAGAAATTTAGATCAGAAATTGAAAAAGTTACTGTAACTTACCTCCTTCACTCCAATTTGAGCAGATCTAGCCATTATTCAAGCAGATCTAGGGCTTGGGAGTTATCTTGTCTTCATCGCTGCGACCATGAGCTTCCACTGATCCACGGCTATGTTTTTTTCTTCTTCTTTTTCTTCTCTCTCTCTCTCTCTCCGGCATCTCCCAGATCGCCTACACCTCTCGCCTCTCTGTCTGTTCGTTCGTTGTCTCTATTCGTTCGTGTGGTTCAACTGTGCAGCTTCTATATATATATATATATGTATTTTTTTTTTTGTTTATAAGTATGAATAATTATATTTAATATCCTACTGTAATTACATTTAAATGATTTAATACCCACTTTAATTATATTTAGTACCCCACTGCTGTAGGTCTTTTTTTATTTTTTATTATAAGTATGAATAATTATATTTAATACCCCACTGTAATTATATTCAATACTTACTGTAATTACATTTAATACCCATTACAATTACATTTAATATCCTCTGTAATTACATTTAATATCCTCTATAATTACATTTAATACCCTATTAGAATTACATTTTATTCCCCAATGTCTTTTTTATTTTTTTTAATTTTTTTATAAGTATGAATAATTATATTTAAGTACCCATTACAATCATCATATTTATGTCACATATTGAGTTTCTCTAAGTAGCTACTCAAAGCTTACACCAATGTATGAGCCTACTCAACACTCTACAAGGGATGGATGTAGCTATGTAAGTATGTATTCATTAGCATTTCATGTGTATTATGAGACCTTAATATTATGTAAAAATGTGTTTATTTGATAAAAATTAAGTGTTTGAAACTAATTTAATTGATTTTTGCCTCATGTTAATCTTTTTTTCCTCAAATTTAAATTTATTCTTGTATAAATGGATGTTAACCTAATAAAAATGTTGAATTAATCAATATTTAGCTTATTTTTATAAATTAATGGATTGTATTTGTGTTTCCATGCGTTTCCATATTTTTTCTGTATTTCTGAAACGCTTCCGTTTTTGAGCTGACCAAAACGGTACTTCGAAATGAAATTTCGATCCTTGCTAAGATATAATTTGAAGTGTTCTAAAAGAACTTGTATGCTGTAATTAATAGCTTTTTCAGCAGTGAAGAGTTTGCACAGCTGGTTGTTCATCTTCCATGAGACTGAGAGCTCATAAGAAAATCCTGTTCACGATATGTTAATGTGATTTGGATATTGTTCTGTTATATGATAACAATTTCGATTCTAAACAGATTAATCCGTTGTATGGAAAACCCTGCAAGTGTGGTTGAAGGTATCTCTATCAAGAGAAACATTACCCGCATCTTATTTGCTGCTGAACTACCACAGAGTTTGCTTGGAGTATATCTGTTAGTATAGTTCTTACAGTCTGATTATATGACCTTTAAGAATTCTCATTTCCTTGTATGCAGGGCTACAGCAAAACCAGGGAGTTGAACAGTGAAGAACTGTTGGAGCAGCTGCCTGCATTGCAGCAGCTGCTATATCGTCTTGTTGGTTGTCGGGTATCCTCTCATGAATCTTGAGGAATGAAATTCAGGAGTTTGTGTTACGTTGATTATTATTTTTTCTAAATATCTTAAATCTTTATGTAATTTTACGGTTTCAAATAAAACAATGACGTCATCTACTAACTTCACAGCCTGAAGGAGCAGCTGTTGGCAATTATGTGATACAGTATGCCTTGGCTCTGGTATGAGTCTCTTTCTTTTTCTATCCAGATATGAATAAAATTGAAAACGAGGAAAATATGATTAATTTGGGTCTACTATTGATAAATATGAGAGTAAATTGAACATTTTCATTTATATGCTTGTGATGAACGTTCTTTCATCTGCGTTTGGATAATATATCATTTTGCTTATTACCAATCTGTTTATGTGTATGCATGCGGCTGTGCACAAGGCCCCCTCTGCACCTGTGCAGAAAAAGTGACTGCTTTTTGTCCTGCAGTGGCATTTGACTCTCTCTCTCTCACTCACACACACACACACACTGTGAGAAGAGTGAAAAGGTTAAAAACTAAAGGAATATGGGAGAAGAAAAGGCATAGTGGATGAACAATTTAGTGTGATAGTACCCTCTTTTCGGACATGTTTAATATATGGATTTTCAGGTACTCAAAGAGAGCTTTAAAATTTATTGCTCTATCAACGATGGAATCATCAATCTTGTGGATAAGGTGGATTGATTATATCATTTATGCAAGATCACGTATTTTAGCAAATGATGTGATACCTTTTATTTACCTCAAGGCTGTTCTCTCTCTCTCTCCCCCACAATTCCATTACAGTTCTTCGAGATGCCCAGGCATGAAGCTATTAATGCTCTGGATATTTATAAAAGAGCTGGCCAGCAGGTGATAGTCACCTTGTGAAATTCATTTTTGAATTACATTGGTTGATGGCTAATATGATTTATAAACTAGTTTACTTATCAAGCATAAATATGATGGATCTGAAATGCTAGAGTAGATATTAACTTTCATCTTTATGGTCTATCACTAAAAAGGATATAGGTTTCTAATGCAGGCTGGGAGCCTTTCTGATTTTTATGAAGTTTGCAAAGGGTTGGAACTTGCTAGAAATTTCCAGTTTCCTGTTTTGAGAGAGGTATTAATGCTGTAATTGTATTCAGCATCTTGGTTGTAATTATTTTCATTGATAAAAATAAACTGCAACAATAATGTTTTGGATAATATTTACTGATGCTAGCTCTACTCTCTATGCATTGTCCAGCCTCCACAGTCCTTTCTTGTGACTATGGAAGAGTACATAAGAGAGGCACCGCGGATGGTTTCTGTTTCAAGAGAGACATTGGTTAGTTTATTTATGTTATGTGCGTCCAACTGACATTCGACTTGAATGCCTATGTGACATTACAATTTATGCTGATTTAACTTCTAGTTATTTTGCATTCTGTTTCTGAAAGCTATGTTCTGCATTGCTAATATCTGGCCATCATGAATCAGGAATATCCAGAGAGACTTCAATTGACGTACAAATCAGAAGAAACTCCTTTACCTTCTGAAGAATCACAACTGTCTGATGATGAACCTAAGCCACTGCCTTCAGATGATGATGTTGTCCCAAATGACAAGGTTCCTGCCCCATCCCCACCTCCTCCAAACAACTTGGACTCTGATGATCTGCTGGTAAATTTCCCGTTCCTTTTCTTTTTCTTTCCTTTCCACTTGTCAATTGATATTTATCTAGAAAGGAAGCATTCCGGCCTGTCTATTGGTGGTTTTAGGGATTAAATGTCATCACAACTGATGCATCTGCAATCGAGGAAAGCAATGCTTTGGCTCTTGCCATAGTTCCATCTGGTAAGATTTTCTTCTCTTTTTTCTGCTGTTTTGCAGTTTAATGTACATGCTTCTGTTGCTTGTTATGTTTTACCAAGGAAAGACATGATATGTGATACATGTAGATATAACATCTGGTACTGCTCAAGCAAATGATTTTGATCCTACTGGATGGGAACTTGCACTGGTCACCACTCCCAGCAGCAACATTTCTTCTGTTCAGGAAAGGCAATTGGTAGGTTCTTCCATATTATTTTTCCCTGTTCTATAAGTGGCTTATGGCTAATGTTAGTTTTCTGTTGCTAGTATAAATCTAAAAATGATCAAACGATGCGTTTTTTCACGGCTTTATGGACGTCTTTTTTCTTCTTCCCCCTACTTTTTTGGCTGTCAGGTGAATCAAGCATTTAAATCACCTTCTTTCAAATGTCATGCTAGCACTATGATAACATGTTATTATAGGGAGAGTGTATCCCCTTTATTGTAGGAAAGGAGTGTCACACTTATTAAAGTATTTTATGTTGGTTTTAATCAAGAATTCGCTTCCTGATCTTACATGCACATCAATTTATAAAAATGAATGGCAGGCTGGTGGATTGGATACTCTCACGTTGAGTAGTTTGTATGACGAAGGGGCATATAGAGCCTCACAGCAGCCAGTCTATGGTGCACCCGCCCCAAACCCGTTTGAAGTACCAGATCCCTTTGCTTTGTCAAACAACGTAGCTCCTCCTCCAGCAGTGCAGATGGCTCAACAGCAGCCCAATCCATTTGCACCATACCAACCTGCCTATACACAACCCCACCAGCAACAACAGCCCTGGATGATGGGCACGCAAAATCCTTTCATTGATTCAGGATTTGGAGCATTTCCTGTCAACTCTGTTACGCATCCACAAACAAGCAATCCATTTGGGAGCACTGGCCTACTATAGAAACCTGGAATGTATACAGTGTAATTTGCTCGGCTTAGTTGATTTTTGATGTATTTTAATGTGGGTGAAGAAGCAGTGCTGAGTTTGTGTATTCCATCCACATGATAGATGATTTTCCAGTGTGAATCACATATTTGTTTGAGTTGAAAAAATTTGTAATTGGATACTATAGTCATTGTAATACTCGACTTTTTTTTCAATGAAGATGTTTGATGGTTTATACCATAGTCATTGTAATGTGCATCATCTAATGTGTTTTATATAAGCACATATAAGCATGGTATTTACACAAGGAGATTTTGATCCGACTGTATTTCTCTGTTCTAAAATCCATCTATAATGTCCAAAAATCTTGGAGAAAAGAATACCCTAATATCGCGTGTTTGTCCCCGTCAAGCACTTAAGTGCACTTACTAGTGTATTAGCACTTGGCAAACCCATTGTATTACTATTACCTTATTGTGTTGCTTCAAATTTAAGAGAAAGTAGAGAGGAGTTAGAAAATCAATTCAAACAAGAAGAGGATGGACAGTGTGTGTAATTGTTGTTTTTAGGTATTTTTAGTTTTGGCATCACTGTAAAACAGGGCAATTCCTTGATGTTTGAGAACTTTGAACCCATTTACCCAAGAAAAAGAAAACTTTGGAACTGATTAAAATGAAAAATGTGTCACATCATTTAGCATGAAAGATTTGTTAAGTAGTTTTGATTGTAGCAGGAGAGTACATCCTTACGCGTTACTCACCCATTCAGCACTAGAAGCACCACTTTCCGTCCTCTGGAGTCCCATCCCTTAAAGTCATATTAGACCTCCCCTAATCCATTACAAATTTTCCTTTTGACAACTATGCAATTAGTCAAATAATTGGAACAATGGTATCGAACTTTAATAAAGGACATTTTCTCTAGGTAGGGAAATCATGATCGAGACAGAGATACCAAACCAAAATTTATGAAACTTGGTCCATAATTGTTGTTTGCAACGCCATTGCTATCACGTATTTAAGTGCATCTCATGGTATTTGAAGAGGAGTCGATGCTTTCATAAATGTGTAGTGGTAACAGGAACGAACTGTAAATTTAAATGTCCAGAGTTCAAATCTTGACAATCTCTTAGAGTTAGGCAATGAAGAATTTATCCCGTGTAAATACCCTTGTCCCAAAGTAGAGTTTGTCTTTGACCGAACTAATCGGCGATAAGTCAAGGTGTGCGCAAACTAATCCAAAAAAAATCTATGTCATGGTTCCCAGCTTCGACGATAGTATCTTCTTTTCTTTCATTTTTTGTTTTTTCTTGAAAACTAAATATTATCCAAATGCCCACCAGAAATTATGTTGTCCTCAGCAGGGGATGTACCATGAGTATCCAAACACTCCTCGTGGAGAAGCAACGGTAGACAAAGTCATGTAGATTTAGACAGTTCAACCATCACCAATCCTTATCCCAGTTGACTCAGTGTGACACAAACTTCTTGAGAACTGGCCTTTTCCCCTACTGAAAAAGACTCCTACTTTACTTGATGCCTTATAGCCAATAAGCAACCTCTTCTCTAGATTATACAATCGAAAAAAAGATTGCATTGTTGTGGAAAGATGATCTAGATAGGAGTGACAATCGAGTCATCGACTTGTATTATATTACATTTTGGTTATGTAATTTTAAATAGAGAGATGTTAATCGAGTCATTGAGTGGCTCATGTTAATATAGGAGGGAGTTAAATAGTATCTTAGCGTTGACATGACATTAAAAAAGAAAGTCATAAGAATGATAATCAAATAAGATCAAAGTAATTAGTCTCAAACTTGGGTCAAGCCGACCATGACACATTAAACAAATTGTGTCAAAATATCAAACTCGACTAATTCTTTGTCAAACTCGAACTTTGTTAACATATCATATCGAAAATTACTACCTTCAAACTGTACGAAATTTAGAAGAAAGAAAGGAATGTGGAAAGGGAAAAAAAAAACCAGTGGAAATGGAAATTTTCAATTCCATCAAAACATACAGATCTGCATATAAAACTGGAAACAGTCACATTGATTATTGACCAAAGAAAAGATCGAAATACATGATGAGGTCCAGCATCTGGCACCCATAAGGGGTCCCCCCAGCTTACTTTAAGTGGGGTTCACCAGCTCTATTTTTTGGTCGGTGGCCCCTTCATTCAATGCCCAATTAGAAAGCGGGCAGGATTGGCAAAGCAAAAGTTGTTTGGATCCAAAGTTAACTCTATCACCAACTGGAATTTCATTGCAAACCCATTTCTTTTAATCCCAGAATTTGCACTGCCACTAGAAAATTTGTTGGAGATTAAACAAATAGAAGCTTTATAGAAGAACAATCAATCTAGCATTATCTGTTAGTTGATGAATGCTATTTTTTTCGTTTTTTCATACCGAGAATTTTCTACAACACATGATTACATTGAATTCACAGTTTAATCTCATGTACATGTAATTACCGACTAATCATCATAAATATTAGTTATTTTAAAAAAGTTACCAACGACAATCAAAACGACCCTTTCGGCTGGTTGTTGTATATTTAATGGTTGCTTAAAACTTTGTCAAAACTCATTAGAATCAAATGCTTCAACAAATATTCTTATTTTCTGACCCTCACTCAATTCCTTTTCTAGACTTTCAAGTCTTCTATGGCTGTTTATCTGTTTTTTTTTTTTTTTTTATCAAACCGCCTATTTCAGCTAAATAAAACCTCTTCTTCCATTCTCTCTCTCTCTCTCTCTCCATTGTATATGCCAATAACAGAGCACCATCCATGGCTGCCAACAAATTTGTAACCATGTTGCATAGAAACACCAATAAAATCATACTTATACTCATCTATGCAGTCCTTGAATGGACTCTGATAATTCTCCTCCTCCTCAACTCTCTGTTTTCTTATCTAATCATCCAATTTGCAGACTTTTTCGGCCTAAAGTTGCCATGTCTATGGTGTTCGCGTGTGGATCATATCTTTGAGTTTGAGCCTGGAAAGAACAAGAATATACACAGAGATCTTCTCTGTGAAGTCCATGCCACTGAGATTTCCAAATTGGGTTACTGTTCAAATCATCGAAAATTGGCTGAATCTCAAGATATGTGTGAGGATTGCTTGTCCCTAAGACCGGACTTTCATGAATTCACCAAGAATTTCTCTTTCTTTCCATCGGTGGAACAAATTGGAATGATTCAAAGTGATGAAGATAAGTTAATTGAGACTTGTGAAGAGATTTTGAATTGTTCTTGCTGTGGTGTGGGCTTGGAAAATAAAACTTACTCTCCTTATACTATGATCAATCCTTCTTGGGGAGTTTTAGATTATACCCAGAAAGGAAACTCGATTACAGAGGCAGGGGATGATTATCACATAGAGAGGGAGATAATTCGGATCACGGAAGATCATATTTGGTCACTGATCGAAATGAATATGAACATGGGTATGAAAGCAAGAATGAGAATCCGCTGCTTTCGGATGTCAATGAGGGTTTTGGTATAAGAGAAGAGGAGGCAGAGGGGGATAGCTCTGTTTCTGTATTCAAATTCGGAGAGAGAGAATTGGGAGGTGATGAAGATGATGAGGTAGGTGTTTTTTTGGAAGCAGATAAAGAACCAACTAAGGAGAATAATTTAAGTATGACTGAGGAAGATCTATCCATTCAAGTTTGTAGCAGAGAAGAAGAATCTCTTGAAATCCTCCATCAGCATCTTGAATTCTTTATTGATTGCAGTGGTAATCGATTGGTTCCTATCGCATTGATCGATTCAAAGACCAAGGAAGATTATAGTAGATGCAGTGTTAAGGAGGAAGATCAAGAACACATTGATCATCAAGAAGCCATTTTGGGTTCTGAATTACAGGTTGAGGCAGAAGTGAAATCTGTTGTGGAAAACAGGTGTGTTGGAGGGCAAGAGGCAGTATTTTCTGCTCATGAGAATAAAGAGGAGCCCAAGTTTCAACCTTTTGAATCAATGGAAATAATGAGGGAAGTTTATGATCAAGTTGCTATAATTCAAGCAACCCAAACCCCATCTGAAGATGATGATGTTCAAGCAATGGCAGCAGAAAATGACGAAGAAAGGGATGCAGATGTTCCTCAAGGTACTTAATATGATTTCTTAGTGCCTATGCTCTAATATGTGAATTTAGACTAAGTTTTTATTCCCTTGCCTCTTTTTATAGTATCTGAAGAAGTATCTCAAGTTCTAATCAATGAAACAGAGGCAGAGGTATCGATAGGGACAGAGATTCCGGACCTGGATACAACAGATGAGATTCAAACTGAAGAAACTCTTTCTTCATATGCATGCACACATGAACATCCTTCTATAAGTTCGGTCCATATTCATGAAGATGATGATCGTGGTAAGCTTTAGAATTTTATGTTGCAGCTTTTACAAGTACAATTGTGATTGGTTGGCCTGTTAATTGTTACTCTCAAGAAGCAAGTAGTGTGTGCTAAACTGCTAATCTCAATTTTTCATGTTAGGTTTTGAAAAAACACAAGGAGAGATGGTAGAATTGAAAATTTTATCAGGTGAGGTGTGTAAGCATGGGATAAACAGCCATTCATCATTGGGTTTAGAGCTGAATGAAATTGAAGACAACAGAGTTCCTGATACACCCAATTCGACAGATAGTTTTAATCAATTAAATAAGAAATTGCTTCTACTCGAAAATAGGGATTCAGGAACTGAGGACTCCTTGGAGGGGAGTGTCACAAGCGAGTTTGAAGGTGGTGATGGAGTTATGAACATTGAGCGCCTGAAATCGGCTCTATAACATTGAAGGTGGTGATGGAAGGCTTTGCTTGCTCTATATTCAGAATTAGAAGAGGAGAGAAGTGCTTCTGCAGTTGCTACAAACCAGACTATGGAAATGATAAATAGGCTTCAGGAAGAGAAGGCGGCGATGCAAATGGAAGCATTGCAGTACCAGAGAATGATGGAAGAACAATCTGAGTATGATCAAGAAGTTTTGCAGCTGTTTAATGAGCTAATGGTGAAGAGGGAGAAGGAAAAACAAGAGCTAGAGAAAGAGTTGGAAATGAATCGAAAGAAGTTATTGGATTATGATGCAAAAGAAAAGATGAGGAGGTTGAGAAGAAGTAAGGATGGTAGTGCTAGAAGTGGATTTTCCTCTGCTTCTTGTAGCAATGTTGAAGATAGTGATGGATTATCAATCGATTTGAATCAAGAAGCAAAGGAAGACAATTACTGTTGTAGTTATCAAGAAAATGGGAGTCACCACACTCCTGTTGATGGAGTCCTGGATTTGGAGGAATCACTGGCTGACTTTGAGGAAGAGAGACTGTTTATTCTAGAACAACTCAAGGTTTTGGAAGAAAAACTAGAAACTTTGAGTGATGAAGAGGAACAACATTTTGAGGATGTAAGCCGTGTGGGACATTTTCAAGAAGGGAATGGTGATCAGTTGGATGAAAATGCTCATTTTGGCAATGAAACAAATAGGCTTGGAAATGGATTTTCCAAGAAAATTAAGGGTTCAATGGGAAAGAGACTTCTTCCTCTTTTTGATGCAATTAGTGTAGAAAATGGAGATGGGATGGTGAATGGACATGAAAATGAGTTTCATATTAATGGGTGGCACAACACCACTGTGACAAAAGTCGAATTAGAGAGTAAGAAGATGGACATTGAAGAGGAGGTGAATCATCTGTACAAACGACTACAAGCTCTCGAGACAGATAGAGAGTTCCTAAGGCACTGCATTAGCTCAGTGAAGAAAGGAGATAAGGGGATTGATCTTCTTCAAGAAATTTTACAGCATCTTCGCGATCTTCGGAATGTGGATCTCAGAGTAAGGAATTTAAGTGATGGTGCTCTAGTATGATGAAATTGTGCTCAACTATGATACCAAAGAAGATTGAAGGTAATATGTTATTCCTTTTGCATGGTAGAATCATATGGTACTTAAAACTAGGTTTTTATGTCGATCAAATTGCATTTGATTGATTTATTGGGGTGCTTGGTACATCCAGATTGTGTTAGGGGAGTTCATTTACAGCTTGGGAAACTGTGACCAAATGAAATAGCTGATAGAATTCTTCATAATCTAAGAAGATTTTGAGGAGATCCCCCTGCAGAGAGTAGGCTTCTGCATGGTCTGTTTTTTGGTGATGTCGATGGACAACAAATTGAGGTCTGCCTCGATTCTGTTGTTTTGTTTTGGACGAATCTTGGCACATTGATAAAAAGTTTGGGTCGAAGATGCATGTGGGATAAGATTTCGTACATTCAACTATCCCTAAACTCCGTAGTGGCAGGAGATTCATGAACTGATCTCTCTCTTTTTTTTTTTTGTTTATTGTGCTAAAGTATGCCCCAGTTTTTGTGGGCTGTTTCCATCTCCACCTTTAAGGGAAAAGGGGGATGATGAGTGCATGTGCATAGTCTAGTGAGGTGAAACCACCCTGTCATTTCTATGCTGTGAGAAAAGGCATGGCTTGTTAAGCTGGAGAGATCCAACAATGATACTAATGCCAGGTACATAGCACTAGTTTACCATAGGTAGAGGGCGGGCCTTGACTCAACAATAAGGTTGCTCTATTGTGATTTGGAGATCACGGATTCGAATCGCAGAAACAGTCTCTCCACTTGCAAAGGTAAGATTACAGATTCAAATAGTAGAAACAGTCTCTCTGCTTGCAAAATTAAGATTACGTATATTTAATTTTCTTCAGATCGCGCAATAGCGGGAACCTCGTGCACTAAGTACGCCCTTATAGTTAGCTCTAGGTCCCAAACTTTTTATTTTGTGGGGAAAGAAGAGGGGAAAGTAACTCCCTTTTTCTCTCTCATCTTTCCATTTGCATCATTTCATTACATGAGGTTTGTTTATTCTTTGAAAGGCCAAAGTTGGTTCAGTTGTATACTATGTGTATCCATATGTATGTGTATAAAAGGTGTTTGTTTATACTGGTTTTGGAGTCACCTTTCATTCTTCTCTTTGTTCTTTATGTTCAGCACAGAGATGAATGTACAAAAATTATATGGAAAAGTAAATAAATAAATAATAAGAAGCAAAGATTGCTTTCACAATGAATTTTTCTTTAAAATCCTAAACCACTTTTGGAAGATGGCCAAAAAAACCAGTAAATTATTCAAGAGGTAAGCTTGCATATTCATAAAATAATTTTTCTGAGTCATCGCGCTTGATGGCAGCACAATAACTATCTCTCAACAAAAAAGATAGTGTATTGTACAAGGTTCTTATTAATGCGAGGTTTAGGATTGGAGGGTCAAATTGATGTGATCCTACTTCTGGTCTAAAAATATTATCTTTTATAACTTGAATCCATGATGTTTAGATTAGACCGATGCAATCTTACTGCTTGTCAAGGATGCAACATAACCATATTAACAAACAAGTTGCATTAGGTATCCTTCATGCCTGGATAGTAGGCGAAGAGCAAGGTGGAATGCGCGGGCCTGGAGGCTCAAAATATCAAAAATTATGGATAGATACCACATAAACTACTTATTTATGGGAAAATATCTTGCCGAAAATGTATTGTAGATGAGTATTATTAGCTAAAAATGCATTGTGTCTAGAGACACAATGACAATTTTTTAAAAAAATTCTTTACTGAAATACCCATTTTCCATAATTCATAGACCGTGTAGTTTGACAATTACTTTTTTTTGTTGTTTTATTAAATCAGTGGTTTACAATTTTAGAAGATCTTTACTTTTTGAATTTTAAACGTGCATCATTTTCTTCTACTTTAACAGTTGGTGTTATATTTCAACTTCTAATTTTCTACTTCAACGTTTAGTACTCATCTTCTTGAACATCTTCTACTTCAATTTTTCTACTTACAGCTTCCCAACATCAAGTGAAACAAAAAATTAAAATCTTATTTGTCACCACCTTCTCCATAAGCCCACCACGATCTATTGTTTACAAGAGTTTTCTCTTTGCTCTACGCTTGATAGACTAGTTTGACTGATCCATGTTCAAATCGGATAATATATTCCTTCATTAGAGCTCCCATTTGTATTGTTTTATCTAATTTTCTACTTCAACGTCGGTTGTTGTACTGTGATATAACATTGTCATTCCTAAATGCAATATATGTGTTTATCAAACTGTAATTGTCATATTGTGATGTCACACTATGTAAAGCATATCATTTAATCGTGGAATGCAATTGCACATCTCTTGTCAGTTATTAAAGTGTTAATGAAGTTATTACACTATGATGTATCACTATTATGTCATACTATATTAATCAATGGTGCTCCAACGTATGTACAGTCAATACAGAAGGGAAAGATTTTTAAGTTCTCAAAATTTTCAATTATTTGTGTTTTTAATTTAGTTGAAATCTCATGAATTTTATGGCATTGTTTGTTTGAATTTGAAACACTCTGTTTTGCACGATATCTTAGTGGCCGAATTTCATGGGAATGATGTTTGATTTTTGACTGTTTTTCAAATCCTTGAGATTGCCCCGGTTAGTTTTTATCATGGGTATATTTGACATTCACAAATAAAAAAGACCTCTCTACAAATAATTTTACCCAAAGGACTTTTACTCAATTAAGTCATATATTGTGTACCAGTTTATAAAAAATCCCTCGAAATATAGTATCGGTTAGCAGGCCCACTGCACCAACAGATACGGCTCCAGCTCATCTTAATCCTACTGTGCAATCCCTCCTTAACATGGGGGCCTCCCTATGGTGACAATTTTCCAAGACGATCTATGGGATAAGTTAGAACAGCCTTTGATACTCGACCACGAACAACAGTTTGAATTTGAATCGATTTTCTTTTCATTTATTTGGAAGAGTTAATGCATTTGATCAAGATCTTATCGGTGTCCAGTTTTGATCCAAACTCATGTGAATTTGTATACTTGTACAATAGAATGTGATTTGAACAACGTTTGTGGTTCTCAATTTGTCCCGAGTCCTAGTAGGCGGATCTCATGAAATGGTAGAAGAAGAAGAAAATTTATGGGTTTTCCTCCTTTTGTGTATGATTATAGTTCATTCACATGCATTTACAAATTGCATCTCATCTCATGATTTTTCCAATAATACAAGCTCACAATAACTAGATTATAGGTGCAAAAACGACGCAGCAGTAAAATGAAGGACATAAAAAAAATCACCATTTCAAAGTGTTAAGAACACAAATGTCCTGAATCCACTGAGAAAATGAGAGAAAATTCTAAAGAAATGTTATTGATTTCAATTTTGGATGAAGTTGCAAGTTTGGATCCATCTTAATCTTAATTCAATCTTGTAATAAAAGCCCAAATATAATGGGCCTTAGATAGATATCTTCTTTGAGTCCAACTTCTAAAAGTTTTAAAGGAAATTTAGAGGTCAGTCCGATATACAGACTTATTTGGATTTAAATCTGTCAATGAAACTTATTTGTTATAAAGTTTGTTTTTTTATTAATTTTATCAAACTATCATTTCTCTTTAGAAGTGAAGAAAAACTAAAAATTAAAAACTCTGGAGTTTGACTAACTTTAAAAAAATCTCTCTCATATTTATTTATATTCATATAGGTTAGTATTATATATATAGTTACGTTAAAAATAAAAATATAGTAACATTCAAATATAAAAAAAATTATCATTTAAATACAAAAAAAAAAATACTATTTAAATACAAAAAATAGTAACATGCAATATTAATATTTTAAAAGAATAACAATAGTAGCATGTTCAACAAAAATAGTAACATGTTCAACAAAAATAGTAATATGCTTAACAAAAACAATAACATGTTCAACAATAAAAAATAGTAATGTAGAACATTAAATAAAATTAAAAATAAAACCAGTAGCATTCAAAGTCATAATCAAATGAAGAAGTCTTCAATTCTTCAACATCTAAAATAATAATATTAAAAAAGTAATAACATGTTCAATAAAAAATAATAACATAAAAAAAATAGGAATATGGTCGATTAGAAAAAAAAAGTAATATGGTCAAAAAAAAAACATAGTAACATGAAATATTGAAAAATTTTGAGAATTATTTATTAAAAAAAATAAAAATAAAATTAAGAATCAAACTAATAACACATTAAGTAAGTTTTTCAACTTTTTTTTTCTCAAAAATCAACGACATAGAAATTCATGATGACCATAATACAATAGAAGATATGGTAGTTGTTGATGATGTTCTAAACATTACTAATTTTGATGCTATAGAGCAAGAAATGATATTTAAGAAGAAAGATTTGTCATGCTAGTGATGATTTTCTTCTAACAATAGAGAGAGGGGGAGGAGAATATAAATTTTAATTTTAATTTAAGAGTGAATTAAAGGATAAGGATAATAGTTTTTAATTTAAAAAATTACTATAAAGCTACTTTTAAAGTTTTTAAGATTTCTATAAGTGAATAGAATAACATTGTATACACTATTTTTGGAATTTAAAAAAATAGTAGATTTAAGTATTTATTAATAAAATAAAAAATAAACTTATCACCAAATAAGTGTTTTTGATAGATTCAAGTCATTATAAGTCCATTTAGGAGGACTCAACTCTAATTTTCACAAGTTTTAAAAAGATACTAACGTGAATTGTTGGAAAATATATTTGGAAGATAATAGAGGTATTAATGTGAGTAGTAAAGTTGATAGAGATATTTAAAGAAATATATTAATTAAGTAGTTCGGAGATTCTAATGCATTACCATATCGTGAATATTATTATTATTATTACTTAATTAATTGAGATGTGACACTCTAATTCTTAATTTTATTATATCACTAGAACTTCATGTCCGGAGAGTATTATATTCTCTAAATCTACCCGACAACGTAAGTTTTTGGTAATCATTCGTTGACCTTTTTGCAGTGTTTCAACTTTAACGTTCAACAAAAGTGTTAGGTGCCCCCCCGGTGACTTTATATAAGTTCTTCTACTTTGACAAATGAGCCACATCTTTTAAAAGAGTTGTTTACTGTACCAAAAATAAAATAAAATTTGATATTGTATTGATGTTTAATATTTTTTTAAATATTTATATTATTTTTTGTGGTTATTTTTATCACCGTTGTGAATAGTTTTCACAATAATAATAAAAAAAATACTCATAAAAATGATTAATTATCTACAAAAAATAATAATTTTTATTTTTAAAAAAATACTCACAAAAATTATAAAAATACCGATACCCATAAATAATAATAAAGCAAGACTGACTTTGAAGTTATCTTCCTTTATAATTAATTATTTACAACGAAGATGAGAATTTGATGTACCTGGTCAAATGAAAATAAAATAACTTCTCACCTATTATGAATAATCTACTCACGTTTAATTCTCTACCAATCTTTGTGTTTAAATTTGTATTACTCTATCTCTCTAATTATCACTACTCTATATCTCTATTCTATATAACCATCCAACTTTTTTTGGATTTATGAAGGTGGATATGGAAAAACTGATATTCGAATGATTGTAGATTGACAAAAGGGTTATTTGGGATTCGAGGGTTGCCAAACGTATTACAGACATGTCAGTGGATATGACTTTTGTGGATTAGATTAATCTTTTCATCATTTTTTCTAATCTAATGTTGTGAATGTACAATACGAGTGAGGATCTACTATTAAAAACTGAGGAGTCCACTTATATACAACAAATTCCACTAAAATGGATAATAGATGATGTGTTAAGAAGAAAATTGAATGGGATCTTAGTATTCCGAAGTCATGGTATGATATGAATTTCTCTTTTGCGATATTGTTACCAATGCATCTCAGTGACATCCGAATCGATGGCAAATATCGCTTCCTTAGACCATATTGAGGAGAGTGAACTGTAATTGAGCTTTGTAGAATACACTTAGAATTCGTTTAGTTGATGTATTGTAAAAGAATAGATTGTATTAGATATTTTAAACTAATCTTTTACAGGTGGATAAAATACACGATCAAATGGAGAATAAGAATATAATCCATTCAAATCCCGCTTTCATAAAATCCTGCATAATAAGTATCAAGTCCAATCTTACATTTGATTAGGCCGATTAACCCATAATACTATGGCCGTATTGACAAAAATGTCATCAATCTAGTCTAATCCAAATACTATATGATTCCAACTAATTTTTGAAATTCTTATTTCTACTGTTGAAATACAAACTTAGCAAGAAAACAAGGCTGCTAGGTGTGACGAAGTTTCAACGACAATAAAGACTTTTTCTAACACACCTCAACCCAGCACACAGGTTTTGGTGGAAGAAGGTAAAGGCCTCCATGAACAGTTTTTCTAAACTTCGTAAATTCAAGCAAGGCGGCATATGTTTCAAATTCTCACCAGGACATTGCAAGCAAACTATGTTCTACATTAATTTCATTTTTTAATATCATCAACACATCAACAGAAAAAACACATTTGACGAGCCCAAACTGAAATGAGTCAGGTTCAATGAATCAAGTTAACTCAAGTCAACTACAAAGTAACCTAAGCCCGCTTTATCAATTTGACTCGGTCCAAAATTGAAGGAGTCCACAGAGGAATGAGCACGTGGGGAAGAGATCATTGGGATGGATACACAAGAATTAATTGTATTTTTTTTTGTAACTATCCTCCCCGAAGTAGTGCCCTCACATTCACGTCACCACCTTACCTTACCGTCTTACCATACCTATAAATTATAGGCTCTCTCCATATAAAGAGACATCTTTCAACACACCTTGACACCTCTCTACACACATAATTTTTCTCTCTCCTAGTTATTATACCTCTCCTGGAGCACACACCTCCCAGAGCCTTCTCTCTCTTACTTCATCAATAAAGACCCTCAACCACCGCTACTATTTTTCAAAAGTGGAGTAAGTCACCCAAATTGAATCACTATACATCTTTGTGTAAACCAAATATTTCTATTACTATCATTAATTGTTTTATTTATTGTCTATTAATTACATCTTGTCACACATTCAACTTTTAATCTTACACAAAATTAATTTGTACATCATCAACGTTAACTATTGTTTCGATGTCACTATCCATTTATCAAGATTTAAATCACCAACTACATTAATTTTGAGTAATGAATCACCAACTACACAAAGGCTACACACCAACTACATTTATTGCCATGAAAATGGCCACTTACCTTGTTTTTAGGTAATGAAACGGCCAAACGAGACAAATCCGAACTTTTCTTGTATGAAATTCAATACTTGTCAAGTTATTTGGTGAGTGATTGGCTCAAGAGAATAAGAATAGTACATGAGGAAAGAATGATAATTGGCCAAAACTCTTTGATCTACAAAACAAGAGACCTTTACTAGCTGTCCCAATCAGCTCGTTAACTATGAGTTATTACTTATTAGTATCATTGCACTTTACCTTTGGATACTGGTTACATCTAGTAAAATAAAATGATGGTCATTTGGTGTAGCTTTGTGTCACTTTTATACTTATTCTTTGTCAAATGCATCATTCTAGTTTATCGAGTTCTTAATTTTTGTCACTTCGATCCGACCAAAAATAATTGTGTGCCAGTTGATTGAAACAAGTAATCATGTGCATATTTTGAGGGATATTTTTTGAGTTACGAAGGAGTAAAATAATTAAAATGACAAAACTCAAAAAATAGAAGTAACGCTAATTGCTAACTTAAGGGAACAAAATGATCCTTCAAGTATGATCAAGTGCGACACATACAACAACTTTTCATTAAGAATTATTGTTTTTGAGCAAAAAAAAATAATAATACAAATTAAAAATTTAAGGAATTATAATAACGACTCATATGACACAAAAATATTTGAAGATCTCTCTTCGTTTGTCTTTTTTATTTTACCTCCACTTTCTCTTGTCTTGTTTGCACTGTATAAGAGAAAGTAAATCTTTTCTTTCTCATTTTTTTTTTGTGAGTTGTAAATTTAGATATTCTGAGTTTGAATCTTAGTAATTTTTTGGGGTCAGATCATGAAAAATTTATTTTTTATGAATATCTTAATCTCGATGTGGATGACTAATTTTAACTAAACTAAGAAGAAGATTAATCGAAATGTGTATAAATTAATTTGAACACCCCTGTCCGTTGAAAAAAAAAAAAACCAACACGAATCTTGGGGGCCATGGTCTCCCATGCTTTGGACAACCGCCATGCAAATTAAATTAAGTGGGAGTTGATTTGAAAATTCTTTTCTTCTCTTCCATTTTCCTATTTTTTTAATTTTTAATTATTTAATTATCACACATGGTTTGAAACAATTATATTCTAATATATGTCTTATATAATTACTCTACTATCCCTCTAATTAATGATCACACATTTAAAATATTTAAAAAAACAACTACTAATTTAAAATTTTTTGAAAACATATTTTTCTCAACTTAACTTTTCATAATTATTTTACCCCTCTATCATAGTTATGTGGTGTCGTCAATCAATTAAGTATAAACATATAAGATTATTGGATCTCATCAAATTTTATAACTATTAATAACATACACTTTAATAACTACCACATGGGATTACGAGCATCCACTTATCTTATTTATTAATTTATTATTTGTTAATGGTACCACGCAAAAATAATAAAAAAAAAATGGTATAATAAAACCACTACATTAATGCTTTATTTGGTATAATAAAAAATAAAATGATAAAAAGTTAAAAGAATAAAAAGTTGGAAGAATAAATAAAATATCATGTATCATGTTTTATAAGGAAAGAAAACAAGAATGATAAAAAAAGTAGATGAATTAAGTTTCCTTTAAACTCACCAAAATCAATCCTTCAAAAATTTGTAGGAAAAATGGATGAAAAATTAATTATGTGTGTTAAAATAGATGTTATTTACCTATACATATATCATATTTACCTATTACACATTATATATGCATTAATATTAAATATAGATATAATGGTAAAATATGTATCTATATTTTTTAGATTAATTTCAAGCACACCTTCTCTAGTTTACCAGATCTGCAAGGACACCCTTTATATTTTTTAAATCTTCACTGACACTTCTTCTAATTTATATTTAAATATTACTAACATCCATGTCATTAAACCACCATTTTTAACCCCAAAAAATAAAAACAATTCATCTAAACTATCAAAATTGTCTCTACATAAACCCCAAACAGTTTTTCTATATAAAATTCATTTTTTTACATATTAAAATTCGAACCGATTAAAATTTATTTTTATACATACTAAAATTTGAGCTAATTAAATTAGATTCGAGTTGATTAAGATTTATTTTTTTACGTATTAAAATTTGAGTCGATTTGACCTCAATGTTGAGTTGTTAGCACAAATTAAAATTCGATTCAAGTCGATTAAAATTTATATTGTTTTACGTATTAAAATTTGATTCAAACGGATTAAAATTCATTTTTTATGTATTAAAATTTGAGTCAATTAAAATTTATATTTTTTTACTTATTAAAATTTGGGCCACTTAAAATTCACTTCGAACTAATTAAATCTTGATTGAATGGGCACACCATGTTTTATGTTGGATTTGGGGTGCCCGTATTCATTTTTGCTAGCATTGCATGAGTTTAATGGTGTAGGCTTCCCATGTGAGAATACCACGTTAGAATAAAATAATAAAGTGAATAATTTCATATTATATGAATGCACTCGATGGACTTAATCTTTAATTATTAGATTAATTAAACATACGATGCATCAGATTATGAACAAGTGATAACTTATGTGATGCACCGAGATTAATTAAAAGTTAGATTCGAGTTGACTAGTGTTCAACGTTAACCTATAAAAAAACTTATATATTTATGTATAATATATACTTGTTTTGTTTGTTAATTTTTGCATATTCAATGAAAAACAATTAACAAAAATTGTAGAATTTAATTGCGTCTGTTGCGTATATTTAACGGTTAGAGATGTTTGTAAATCAATCTCAAGCATAGGGGTATAAAAGTAAAAGTTACTTCACATACTCTGACAAAGAGTGTAAATAAAGATTTAAAAAATAGAACAGGTGTAATCAATCGAAGATATAATAAATTAGAAGATGTATAACTAAAATTTTCTCATATTTTTTTCATCTTTTTATTTTTTTATCCTCCCAAACGAACCAAGAATTCACCCCATTTTCTATTCTATTTCCTCGTAACACACAAAAGACTTGTCGCCTTTGACTTTCTGTCTCACTGTTTGTTCCAATCGAAACACGCTCTATTCCTTTCATAATATCTCAGTTTTTTTTTGAATATGTACAAACAAATTAATCCTGAAAGTGATCATAAACAGTTTTTTTATTGATCGAAAATTTCGATCCCAAGCCACACCAGCTTAACCCACATCTTCCAAAACTCAATTCTTCATTCTTTTGATGGACTGATCAACAATAAATCATGCTCAAATCCAAAAACCTCATTGACAGAATTCTCAAACCCTTCAAGATTCAATTCAATAGAGGTATAAATCTCTATTTACTATCACAAATCACACATATAATTGTATATATGCTTTGTTTTTTTACTGTGTTTTTGATCAACTAGAGGGAACAAGACAAGAAGACGACTTGGGAAATATTGCTGCACAAGAACAGAAGGTATTCCACTTTGAAACCCTAGTTGCAGCTACCAAGGATTTCCAGGCCAATCACAAGCTTGGTGAAGGTGGTTTTGGCCCAGTTTACAAGGTAATTCTCAAAATTGAGTCTAATCTGAATTGGGTTCTGTCAAAAACTAATGAATTTATGAAGATGATATGAATTGCGCAGATACACTTGAATTTAGCCATTGGCTCTTTGCAATCGAGTCTTGTAAAGTACTGGGTCGATACAGAACCCACAAATTATGGATGATCCTGAGCCTTAAAATGAATATATATACTTGAATTTGGCCATTGGCTCTTTGAAATTGAGTATTGTAAAGTACTGGGCCAATACAAAACCCACAAATTATGGATGACCTTAAGCCTTAAAATGAAAATGGATTAACAGAAACTCACAAATTATTGGAAATATATTTGAAACATAGTGAGGATTATGAATATGGTGGTTGGACATTTGAATATGTAGGGGAAGTTGGGTGATGGCAGGGAAATTGCAGTGAAGAAGTTGTCACAGAGCTCAAATCAGGGGAAGAAAGAGTTTGTGAATGAGGCAAAGCTGTTGTCCCGTGTGCAGCATCGAAACGTAGTAAATTTGTTGGGGTACTGTGTGCATGGTTCAGAGAAGCTACTAGTGTACGAGTATGTAGTTAATGAAAGCCTTGACAAGCTTCTCTTCAGTAAGTTCGGTATGCTTTGCCTATTTTTTGTACTTAATTCTTGTTAGATTCAGATTGTGACAGTGAAATTAACAGAGTAGTAGTAACCAACGAAAAAACTATTGTATTTTTGTGATATTTCAGAGATGGGAACTTACATTCAGCATTTTAAGAAACCCCAATTGGTTTTTCTGCTTCCAATTCTTTGTTAGGTCCTGAATTGCAATCTATGTGGGTGCTATGTTGGTTATTTTCAATTGACAGATGTATTAGATTTGGTGTGTTCAATTTGGGTTCATTTCCAGACACCCTAATCTGACCCTGACCCTGACCCCTACCTCCACAATGGAAAGTAACAATAATATGGTCTCCCAAGCAAGGGGTCCATTTCAAAGTTCATTAACCTGCGTTACTTGTTTATCCACTGAACTCCTGGGCACTTGTGATCTTCGATTTATGTGTTGTGTTGCACCTAAACATCCAATGTTCTTGATCTATATCTAAATATTTTCAAAGGAAAAACGTGTCGAATTGTCTACTCAGTACTGCCAAACTCAAATAGTTCCAGTCTTCAATATGAAATTCATGACTTTTCAAACTGTAAAGCAAGAATTTAATGTTTTTTGGTTTTGCTTAGTGAAGTGCCTAAGAATCTTAGTAGCAACCATTCTCATGTGGGTGGATATGCCTTTTTCACCTGTCTATCTTGGGATTTAATCAACCTCCAAGCAGTTACCTCACTATTATTCAGAACCAGTAAAAGGAAGCAGAAGTCAGCCCATTTTTAGACAGAAAGGCAACAGAACCTGTTTTTTTCTTTTTAAATAACTTGATATGCATTTTTTTATAACCACCTGATATGCAATTTTTCTTGTAAATGTAAGCCCAAAAGTACACTCAAATACGCGTGACACATTTGATTGGAAACAAGAATATTAGGCTGTTTGTTGTTACACATTGCTTGAAGCACAGTTTTTTTATAGGCATTTAGTTATGAAGATGTGTTTTATTAAAAAAATCAATAGAAAATGGAATGTGGATGTTTTTCCATAAAATCATGATAGGGTCGATTGTAAATTGGATAAGGAACTGGTACTATAAAAAAGTATGAGGATATGTCTATCACTGTGTATTAGGAAGATACTATCCAGCTCTCTTTTTTCTTTTGACAAGTGTGAGATCTTGTACAATGTAAAAGGAAAAGAAAGAAGGGTTATAGCAATTCTATGTAAAATGCTCTTCACCCTATGGCCTTGGCCATCCTCTTTCAAGAGATGTATGTCACAAGCAATCTAGTCTGCTTAATATTTGTTTTTTAACCATTTCCAAAGCAATCTTGGTGGTAAGCCACCCCCATTTTCAACACAGCAGTTAGCTACCTAGCTTCATACCATTTGAATTTTATGTATGTAAATTCATATAGGTTAGAATTAAAAGGTTTGAACGAACATATGTGATAATAGTGATATTTATGGTGATTGTGATGATCTTGATTCAGAGTCAGGTAGACGAAATTCACTGGATTGGAAGCAGAGGTATGACATAATTGCTGGCATTGCCCGTGGCTTGCTTTACCTTCATGAAGACGCGCACATTCCGATCATCCACCGTGACATCAAGGCCAGCAATATCCTTCTAGATGATAAATGGGTGCCCAAGATAGCTGATTTTGGCCTGGCCCGCCTCTGTCCAGAAGATGAAACACATGTTCACACTCGTGTAGCTGGTACCAAGTACGTTGTCAAGCACCCTAATATTCCAAAATTTGGTTCACTGTTGGTTCAGACCATTTGAGTAGGAGATTACTTCAATCTAAGTGGTCGGGATTTGATTGCAAGGAATCTAATGCATCATTTATTTTGTAAACAGTGGATATATGGCACCAGAGTATGTCATGCATGGCAATCTATCTAAGAAAGCAGACGTATTTAGCTTTGGGGTATTGGTTTTGGAGCTGATCAGCGGTCAGAAGAACTCAACATTTAACCTAGATCATGATTTCCAGGACCTACTTGACTGGGTAAGAACATGTTACATTTACATTAACCAAAATTCATTGTGATTAACCTCCTTTTGCTACATTGGTTATGTCTTAATTAACTACGTCTGGAATTTTGTGGTCTCCGGCTTTCAATAATCAGATTTCACATGGACCTGATAAGACTCAGTACTTGACACCTTCATTTAATAACCCATCTGCCTATATGATTTAAGCATTTTAAGATACACAGTGAGTAATAAAGAATGATAAAGGCAATAGTGTTGAAAGATGGACCGGAACTTTTGAGTTCTTCCTTTTCGAACTTAATAGTTTAATTGGTATCTAGCCTATATTTTCCTATGTTTGACATGGTTCCACATCATGTCTAGTTGATATGCTAGATGTACTTTGACATTTTCCAAAAGCTATGACATTGAGTTTGGGAAGCTTCATTGCAGGCAATTTTCCAAGGGAAAAAATGGTGGAATTTGGTTGGGGTTAACAACTTTGAATTGTCATCCCTTTACCATTCATTGCCTTCCGTAGGAGGAAATAGAGAAAGAAATCTAACAGAAAAAATATTCCTGCCTTTCTTTTCAGTTGTAATTCACCATTCATTGCCTTCTGTTTTAAATTTGTTTCGTAAATATGTCATTTTAGTCCGACTTCTGCATTAACATTTTAACATCCCACCAGGGTCTTGGTCAAAATAATTGAACTAAGAAATTTATGTTTTTTGTGTGTGTGTGTGTGTGTGATATCCTGGGGTGAGCAGGAGACTTGGTGATAAAAGCATGAAAAGAAGACAGTCAGACAAATGTGTGTCAAAAAAAAGTGGGTGTGTATCATAGAGAGAGACAGAGTTATTAATACATCTAATGAGAAACTACTGTACATAGTGCATATAGCTAGTCCAAGAATACAAGTTTCAGCCAGGATTTTCCCCGTTGTCTTTGGATTTTCAGAATGGATGCTTTTGAGATTGGATGATTAATTTAAATTATTGGATCTGACCTACCCTTGAAGTTATTGGCAACGTAGATATTGTTGCCACACGTGTGCAAAAGGGTGTCTGGCTTATGTTTTCTTTCACAGATAACCTCTATATATACTTGACCACCTGTAATAGTCAATTGCAAGTTGCTTAGAATTAGATCAAATTACTATGAGATTCTAGAATATTGAAAGTATGTCATTTCATGCTGTTACATATAGAACCCGGGGGCATATTACCCAAATCATTGGTCCGGTGCTACACTTTGACTAGGACTACTAGCGTACTTCGTACCAATTTATGTTGGGTTCTAATCCCAAACAAATTCCACATTCTACTTTTATCATGTAGAGGAATGCCAAAAACTCAACCTTGAGATGCATTTTTGTTTCTGCAGGCATATAAACTTTACAAGAAAGGCAAGAGCTTCGAGATTATGGACCCTATGTTGGCATCATCAGCAATTCCTGATCAGGTAGCATTGTGTGTAAAGATCGGGTTGTTATGTACCCAAAGTGATCCACAGTTACGGCCCACAATGCCTCGTGTAGTAGTAATGCTATCAAAGAAACCAAGCAGCCTCGACGAACCAACGAGACCTGGATGCTATGGTTCAAGGCCTAGAAGATCTCGAAGGCCTACTACTACATCATCCTCCACTGCTGGAACATTCAGTGAATCCAGTTCTCATTCATATGGTTCCACCACCAAAACCAAGAGTGTTACAGCAACTACAAGCACATCAACCTTTACAAGCCCTAGACAATACGACCCTCAAGGAAAACGGCCTATGCAAGGTTAGGTCTATTCTTATAGGAGAATTTGTTATTCAATTTGTAAATTAATTTTGTGTTGTTGTTTCATTGGTATGTACATCATTAGGTAATTAGTTAAATTTGTGATTAGGAATACCAGTTACTTTGGTTATTCATAAAAACAGTGATCTAGTGTATGGAAAAGTTGAAGGAGAGACAACTAATAAAACCACTTGTGCACTTCTTTTGTCTAGTAGTTGTGCCTCATCTTGGGGCCCAGCACATTAGAATAGTGAAACTTTTTGCTTCGACTAAGGTCTAACATAATCTAATTAAAGACTAGAATAGACGAAAGGTAATAAAAGATTTAGATTATAGATGCAACTTTGATTATTTTTATTTGGAGTATATTATGGGTCCAAATAATTTTATTAAAAAGATGTATCATACCATACTCTACCCCCATCAATCTCAGTTATTAATTTTTATTTGAATGATCTGCAATTATTGTTTAAAAAATAATAAAAAAATTATATACGTAACATGTTCTTATTGATTGAAAAATAGATATATGGTACCAAAAAAATATTTTTCAACATTGCAATTAGACTATAAATTATCTATCCATAAACATTAATTAGATTAAAATTTGATGGCATGGTCTAGTGGTCCATAGTAGGGGTGTCAAAATATAATATGATGTAAAATTAGAGGGTATGAATTTTTCTTAAACTATTTGTTTTGTAAACAAGTGGATTCAGACACGATACGATTAATAAATGTATTCTTTAAACCATTTAATACGAACTCAATTACATTTAGAAGTGTTCACCCTATTTTACTAATAGAAAATATGGTCTTTCGTCTTCCTACCAGATACTTGGCGGAAGAATTTTTTCTTCGCCTCTTCTACCCAATCAAGTGTGGTATTCCTATTTGACTTTCTGGCTAAATTATTCAGGTAAGACGTCTGGTAGGAAATCAGATAAATACTTTTGTAGTTATTAATTTTTGAATCATTTTAACAATTAATTAAATAACATACACCAATTTAATAAAACAATAAACTAATAATACTAAAATCTAAAACAATTATAACAACAATTACAATAAAACACAAGAAAGCATAAACATCAAGTATATATATATAAAATAAAGTAACTTACAATTCAAATTTTAAAAGATTAATAAAATGACTTTTACTTTTCACGGTTCAGATCGCTTTAAATTTTACTTTAAAGTTAATTTAACGACTAATATTAATACTCTAAATTTAAAAGAAAAAATAAGGTCTTAAAGGTGTATTTGTAGTGACTTTTTAAAAGTACTTTTAGGAATTATTTCTCATAGGTACTTTAAAAAAAATTAGAGTTTGAAATTGCCTCACCATTACCTCTTACCACCCCTGCCACCACCCGCCACCACCACCACCGTTGCCACCACCATTACCACCCCCACACCACTATCGCTGTCGTCACCATCACCGCCGTCGTCATCGCCACCGCCACCACCGTCACTATCGTCATTGTCACTCATTACAACCATCACCATCTTCTATCATCACCACTGTCGCTCATCGCCTTTCACCCCCACTACAATCGATGTTTAAATTTATTTATTTATCTTTTATAATTGTAATTTGATTTTGGATATGAATATAAATATGTTTTTGTTTATTATTTTTTATTACTCTGTGTCTTCAGACACAGACAATAACTAATATATATATATATATATATATATATATATATATATAGTAATACTGATAGAGTATGATAGAAATAAATAAATTAATGACTATTATGCACCCAATTTAATCGAAAGATTAAAATTTTTTTTATATTTTTATCTAATTTTTTTGATTAATCGTTTAATAGAATTGGATAAAATCGAGTAAGCAGATCAAAAATTTGAATAACCGTAAGTACATCCGATATAAGCGCGTCGTACCCGAGGGGATTGAGGAGTCTGGCTTGTGGTCAACCCACGCACCAAAAAAAAATTATACTTTTTCCAAAGGTCAACGCCTACTCAGCAATTATCGTGTGGTGAGCAACCCATCGTGGTCCGCGGTACTCGTTGGTAGCACCGTAACTCATCTCTGACTTCCCTTAGGCGTCCATACGAAACGATGATTCCAAATGCGGGTCCCCACCTCCTCCCACACTTGCATGCGAGATCCAGGATTCGAAAATCCAGCGCGCTCAAGACACACGAGTTTCATGTGACTCACATTTGTATTCCAGGGCCTTACATTTCACATATAACGATCTGGAATTAAAAAAAATTAATGTCATTTTAAAATATAAATTATAATTTGATTTATTTATAATATATTAGATTATGAAAATATAACAAAATGAAGTAAAAGACTAAAATAAACAAATTTATATGAGTCACAATTCTATTAAATATATAAAAAAATCATAATCAAACCTTATATTCCATAAATAACATTTAAATATGTAATGATAATCGTTGTCATAAGTCACAACTTATTGCAATAAGAGATGGACGAAAGATTTTATCACGACAATATCTCGTGAATCTTATTTAAAGGGCACAATTTTTAAAGGGATCATTCAATAAGTTATTATTAATGTCAAATTTTTAATTATATAGAACTTGGAATAATTAATTATGCAAAAATTAATTTAAAACATTAAATTCAAAAATTGATTCTTACTTTCCAAAGGAAAAATTAACTCGTGACAATATCTTGATCACTATCCTCTTATTTATAATCTATAATTTATAATATAAAATAGAACAGCTTTCAATAAGTCTATTCAACGGTTTCAAATAAACTCATTCAACGGCTACTAATATTCCTCTCAAAATTATTCACAATGCACTGTATTTTCAAGCATGAATTACCTCTAATATATTATATGATGTGATGACTATTCTCTTATTTATAATCTATAGTCTATTATATAAAATATGATAAACTTCAAAAATTTCATTTAACGGTTTCAAATAGGTTCATTCAATGGTCACCGACATCCCTCTTAAAATTATTCATATTGTATCGTATTTTCAGATACGAGTTACCCATAATATATTATATTATGTAATGACTATAAATGAATTATCATTACAAATTTTAGTTTGACACGCCAAAAAAAATCAAGAGTTAGTGCATTGTTAATGATATAACTTATGCTTATTACTTTTTAAATTCATTTTATTGTTTTTATAATAAATAATTATAAATACATCAAACAAACATATACCATTCTTAATCAATTTTGAAATGGGTAAATTACAATGTTAGCCTCTGAAGTTTTCCACTTGTTATACTTTCCTCCCTAAAGTTTTAATATTATCAATTTCATCCATAAAATTCACAAATTGGACTGATGTAGTTCCCTGCTCTAATTGCCGTCTAAATTAATAACAGAAAATCATCATGTGCTATTCACATGATTGTAGTTAAGGGTAATTTTGTCATTATCTAACAATTTCTGTAGCCAAACTCTTATTACAATTATGAACAACATTAGACATTAAACAAAACATTATTCTTTTTCTTCCTCACTTTTTTTTTTCCATTTTCCTTAACACAGACAACACACTTGAGAAGCTCGATACACACACAACATCTCCCCCCCACCCCTAAATTCTCTCAATTTTTTTTATTTATGCACAACATCACCCTCCCAAAAAAAAAAAAAAACCTAGCAACACCCCTCCAAAAAAAAAAAACTCAGCACTTCACTCTCTCTTTATGGAAAAATTTTCTTTATGCACAACATCCCCTTCCCAAAAAAAAGACCAGCAATGCTTCCCTCCCAAAAAAAAACACAACACCTCTTTCTCTGTTTAAATTGTTTCTTTATGCACAACGTCCTCCCTCCCCAAAAATTGAGGATAATGGGGATTGAGTTGGTTCACAGAAAAATAACTCATTTCTTTGTCTTAAAAATGCCAATATCGATCACGTCCCCCACCATGACGACCAAATCTTCCTCTCAGTTGTCACATAGGTTTTCTCTCATCCGACACCCCGCCATCACTGCTGCCATGTCAAAATTGATATCAAATCAAAAATCTGAGTGGAGAGAGGAGAAAATTAAATGTTGACAATTAGGAGATTGGTGGTTGATGGGTGTTTGGTTTACATGGTGTTTAGTGGTGGAGGCATGTTTGTGGCATTGGTGATGGGTAGAGTACCATGGAGTGGGTTTCAACAATGGGAATGTGAAAATTAGATCCACCACATATGCAGAGAACGAGAGAGAGAGAGAGATTAAAAGACTTCCTTGCCCTTCAAACTTCCTCACATGCTATTCACATATTTTTTTTTGTAATTTTTTTGGACGGCAGTTAAGGATAAATACCAAAATAAATTAATGTATTAACTTGGAAAACGACATTGATTAAATTATAATTTTGAAGAGGAAAGTGCAACAAGTAATAAATCTTATGATTTAATTGTGTAATTTACCCTTTGAAAATACGGAAAAGTAATTGCACAACCACGTCATCAATCCGTGTCCACTTCCTGAAGGTCAACACTGACCGTTTGATCATTACCCACACAAACAGCCCCCAGCCGTTGGATTTGCTCTCAAACACTCGTCTCCTCGTTTTTCTTCTGGATCCGATCCCTGTAACTCCTACCTTTTAAATCACTTCCCCCCTTCAGTTTCCTCATCTACTTCTCTCTTCACCTCCACACTCTACAGTCCCTATTTCTCCAAATCTTATCATGGCTAGTGAAGAACAACCTAATAGCCTCAAGCCCCCACCTCCAGCTCCGGCTCCTCCCTCTCTCCCTCACTATCCGGAGGTAAGAGAAAACTGTGCTTTGTCGGAGTTTTTTTCTTTCATGTTCTCACAATCAAAACACCATCTCTCTCAAAATACCGACCGCTAAACCTCACCTGGTTGTTTATTTTTTTTTCTTTTTTGCTATTTTAGTTTAGGGTATTTACCTTTTACTCACCCAGCATACATATTTTTTGTCAAAATAAAGCTTGATTTTTCATATTAGTTTTCATTTTCTACTCATCGAAACACTATTTTGTTAGAATGGAGCTAAATTTCACATCGATTTTGTTAATTTTATTCTGTGCCAGTTTTTTTTCTGTGTTTTTTTTTTCCTGGGCATCCAATAAACATTGCAAAATAGGGATGAATTTCAGCTGGGTGTTTGATAATTTTGGTACTTTTGTTTGCTACAGTTGATTATGGCAGCGATCGAGTCTTTGAACGACAAGAATGGCTCGAACAAGTCGTCAATTTCCAAGCACATCGAGGGCACCTACGGAACTCTCCCAGCTGCCCACTCAACCCTTCTCTCTCATCATCTCAACAAGATGAAAGCAAGTGGTCAGCTCGTCATGGTCAAGAACAACTACTTAAAGCCTGACCCTAACGCCCCGCCTCGCCGTGGCCGTGGTCGCCCTCCGAAGCCCAAGGCGGCGCTTCCGACGGACACTGTGGTGTCTCCACCGCGACCAAGGGGTCGGCCACCAAAAGCTAGGGACCCACTTGCTCCTGCACCACCACCCAAGATGACGGCAACGTCGAGTTCTAGTGGAAGGAAACGTGGGAGGCCACCGAAGGCGGCTAAGGCTTCTCCGGCACCACCGCCGGTAGTCGAGGACGGAAGGTGAAGCCACAATCCACTGGTGCTTCAGTTGGGGCTTGATTGAAAGAGATTAGATTACAGGGGGTTGTAGTGCTAATTGATGTTTTTTTCCCTATGTTTTTTTTTCTTTATTTTTTAGTCATTTAACTGTGGTTTATTTTAGTTTAGGGTGCTTGTGGTGAGTTCGGAGTTGTTGTAATAGTAGTGATTTAGGTGGGGGAGGTTGTAACTGTAATTTGCACAATGTAAATTTATGCAGCGGCTGTTGAGGGGCTCTTGGCACTCTCTCTCTCTCACTTTGTGCTTTTACTTTTTTTCTTGCTTTGGCGTTTGGCCTATAAATCTTCAAAGAAAAAAAGTTTTTGGCACATGGCTTACCTCTTTGTTGTTCCTTAGGTTCAAATGTGGATCTGTTGGTGAAGTTACAAGGAAGCTGTATGAAATGTTGTAGGTGCTTTCAAATTTTGGGCTGGATGTTTGGCCGGTGGATTTACCTCATAATTGGATTCTATATAGTGAGACGGGTTCATATAAAAAAAATTATATTTATATTTGATTTGTTTATTAATTTATGTTTAATGAATTATGTATTATCATATTTATGTCATATATAAATTGTAAATAATATAATTCATATGTACATGTTGTGATGTTTATTTGTTTTGATTGATTTTAATTATATTTATTGATTTTTTAGTCATGTTATGTTAAGTTTACTTGTTTATGTTGAAATTTTTTACTTTATAAAATTGAGCTATATTTTTTTTAAGGTAAAAATTATAATTTTAAAACGTGATTGATCTTAAAATGTTAGGATTGATTGTGGAAGTTTTAATTTTTAAAAATAAAGTTACCATTTATAAGAATTTAGTTACTTTTTTTGAAGGCAAAATTACGACTAATGAGGGAATTGGCATGATTGATTGTAACATTTACGGTTAATTGTGAATATTTTTTGATCAATTATAATTCCACTTTCAAAAGATATAATTTTATTTCAAAAAATAATAATATTTAGTATGATATTAATTTTTTTTTCCGATATCATAGCATTACAATAGTTCTAATTTTGGAAATGTAGATGTACTATGGAAATGTGGAATAAATGTGATCCTAGCATTTTTTAACGGGTGCTTGTAGGGTGGAGAAAGTAAAAAAGTTTGAATTTTGACACTAAATATGGTGGGAAGGAGAAGCATGAACCAGGTACATTTACAATTAAGAAAACTTGTCAAACTAAGTACTTTTGGTGTATTTGGTATTTATTTGAAGGGTTAATGCAACTTTGCATCATAAAAGATTTAAATATTTTAATTTGTACTTTACACATAGAGTAGTAATTGTGAAAATTTATTTTTTTTAAGCGTGAAAATCACCCATCTTGCTTCCTTATGTGATACTTGAGTATACGTTAAAGGAAAAAAATATATAGGAAAAAATAAAATGGAAGGAAAAGGAGGATAGAAATGGAAGAGTTTTGCAATTCTGGTCAGAGAGCAACGACAAAAATTTTTTGGACAAATTTTAGAGCAACTCTAACGGGAGTTGCCATCAGGGGTGTCATCCCCATAACCACTAAAATGACACCCAAACTACAAAATTGGAACTCTAATGGAGGTGGCAAAATAACATCTAGGATTTTGAGGTGGCATATTTGACAACTTTGGAGAGAGAATAGAGAGGTTGCAAAATAGCCGTTGGTGGCTACTGTTCCTCAACGGCTATATTCCACCCAAAATTTGTATAAAAATACAGAGAGAGAAAGGGGAAGGAAAAACTTGCCTGAAATTGATTACTTCCAAAAAATAGCTCCCTGAATCCTTATCTTTGATATCAAAAACCCTAGCTTCCTTGACCCTTACCGTTGGTGTGCTCTCATAGCCCGTTGTCGTTGTCTGGTCTAGTAAGGGGAAGGGGTCTGGTCTGGTTTGGTAAGAGGAAGGGGAAGAAGACGACTGAAGGAGAAGGAGGTAGGAACCGTTTTATTTAGGGGAAAGGGGAGGAGTTGTAATTTATAATTACATCTGCCCCTATTCTTGTTTTAATTTATAAATTTTAGTTTTAATTTATAATTTATAATTATATTTGCCCCTATGTTCTTGTTTTAATTCATAAGTTCTAGTTTTAATTTATAATTTATAAATACATTTGCCCCCATGTTCTTGTTTTAATTTATAAGTTCTAGTTTTAATTTATAATTTATAATTACATTTGCCCCTATGTTGTTGTTTTAATTTATAAGTTCTAGTTTTAATTTATAATTTATAATTACATTTGCCCCTATGTTGTTGTTTTAATTTATAAGTTCTAGTTTTAATTTATAATTATATTTGCCCCCATGTTCTTGTTTTAATTTATAAGTTCTTGTTTTAATTTTTAATTTTTAATTTTTAATTATTATTTTATGCTCATTCTTTAAATTGATTATATTTTTTTTTTGTAGATGAAATTCGCAATTTGACGGTTCTTTCACTGATTTGCTTATGAACGACACCTATTTATATGATGATGCAATGCAGACCAATCCCACAGTATTGGCGCCTGTACAAAATGAAGTCGTTCTAAGAGTGAAAAAATCGCAAAGGACAAAGAACTTCTCTATAGAAGAAGATAAATTAATTGTGTCTGTGTGGCTTAACACGAGTAAAGATGCAATTACTGGGAATGAACAATAAGGTGGTACTTTCTAGCAAATAATATTGCAATACTTAGATATTCATGGAGGCAATCAAGAAGAGCGTTCACAATCTTCTATTCAAAGTCGTTGGACTGATATAAATGCAAAATATGGCAAATTTGTTGGTTTTTATAGTTAAATTGAAAGACTGCGACAAAGTGGACACACTGAACAAAATAATGTAATGATTAAACTT